ACCTGAAAATTTTGAGGGTCAGCCGCATGGACGCCATATTTTCAAATTTGATCATTTAGCGAAGATGCATAGAATAATGCCCCTCTAGTACCCCTAAAGTCAACTAAATATATGCGCAAACAACGGATTCTGATTGGCTTATTGATCTCCAAACTATAGAGGAAGTTTGGGGACAAAACTCCACTTAGTAGGGGAGGTAGCGGGAAAGCGTTCTCGCGCGAGGCGATTGCGAGGTTCGGGCGGTTCAGGTGTCAATGTGTTAATGTTGAACCCTGGTAAAGGGTTAAATTCTTTTTGTATTTAGCACTATATACCTTGCTGTACTGGCATGGCTGGTTCAGGAGCAATATCACCTACACCAACATCTTCTTCATACTATGAAATAAATGATATTCCACTTCTTAATCAATTTATGTGGTCACAGAATGTAAATTATAAAATTAAGCAAGTACAGCACCCCATTGCACAACTGAACTGGTCTTCTCACCAGAGTCAGAAACTACAAACTAGTTAGAGACTTCTACACCGATTTAGTGCTTAAAGCACCACCCTTAGTTTAAAGTGAAACAGAAAAGGTATCTTTCAACACCAGCCAGCAAATAATATTAGGGGATGAATTTTCAAGAATATAAAATGGTTGCAGGTATTGATAGTACAATTGTAGTGGAAAGTTTTAACTCACTGACAACATCTAATAAGGAAAACATTGTGTTTTAAAGAGGAAATACCAGATTATTTCAAAGTGGTAAAAATGAGATAAGAGGATGGAAAAAATGCATCATTTGAAGGTTTTTTTGGAGGAAGTACTCTTAAGGGTTACTTAGGAATACAGAGTGAAGAAGCAAGAAGTTAAAAAAAGTGGGTCTGACTTCAGTTCTACCTCCTGGTAATTATAAAAGTTTATTGTAGCATAGCTGTCTGAAGTGTCTGTTGAAGGTGTTACACACATACTTGTCAATGTTATGTGCTCTAAATAGTTGTCAATACTTGTAATTAGGTATGCTAATGTAGACTATATTTAAGACGTGTGCTGTAGTTTGAATTAGAATGTATTTTGTGCATTTTGAGTGAACATTAAAGTTTTGTTGGATACTATATTTATCATATAGTTTCATGTGATATCATGCAAATACTTGGATTAAGTGTGCAAAAATAAAATAAGGACCGATAGAACCCTAGGTATATTTCTCCATACATGTGCTTGCAAAGCTTCATCCTCTACTCCTCCAGTTGTTAGTACATCATCGTACAGGTCCAAGCCTTCACCTCCATGGTGCTATTGATAAAAGATGACAAAAATGACAAAACTGCCTCCTGGTTAGCTCAATTGGTAGAGTGCCGGACTGTTGTGCGGGAGGTCGAGGGTTCAAGCCCAGGCTGGACCAACACTCAAGGTCTTAAAATAATTGAGAAGAATTTGCTACCTTTCTACATCAAGAAATGAATAGATATTCTAGTCTTCTCGAATAAGGACGAATAAACCGTAGGCCCCATCTCCTGCAGATTTAGGGGTAGGAGACGTTAATTTCCAATGCACAAGATTACTGTGTGGTGGATGTCCTTCCCTGGGATGGGATGGATGGGTATATCTGCCGAGATGGGCTGTATTGCCCTTTGCAGATTAAAACGTAGATAGATAAAAATTGGTTTCATACATGTATGCGTGGGACTTTCAGGAACGTTTTTCATCTGTGGCTACTACTGATGGAATAGCCATCTGTGATTTTCAAGGATTGTGTCTTTCTTTTAGTCAAATAGTACTAAGAGGCCTGTTAAGCAGTAGAGGACCATTGCTGGTCACCATCTGTTAGATACATTGACACAATTTTAATTTAAAAACCCTCTCTTTGTGGTGCATTACCCACTGCTTAAATGCCCAAGAATCAATGGATAAAATGGGAATTATAGAAAAGTGATGTTTACGAAGCAGACTGTGGGCCTAGACAACACAGATGCAATTCGTTACTTCAGTGTGGAGATGGCATTTGAATAAGTTGTTCTTTAAAAGGAAATGGACAATTTCCAATCCATTATTTCAAAATAAAGGATTAACGAAAAAAGAACTAAAAAACCCACATGCAATGCAATAAAGAGACAGCGAGTATAAGCAGTCTGACGTTTCATAGACGAGTTTCTGCCACGTGAAAAATGCTCTCATTTATACTACTACAAACCTTGCTTTCTTTCAGAAAATTTAGACACTACCTTGCAAGGGACATCCACAGCACGCTCCACAATAGTTCGTTTTTGTGAATTTTCTAACACGTAGCTCGCTCAAAAGGCTAAAGATATGAGATTTTTGCTGATTATTTGGGAGTCGGCACGTCATACAACAACGTACACCTGCAAGGTGACTTCTTGGAAGCTAAAAAACTCAGCACACAAAATAATCGCTAAATCTTACCTGTCCAGTAACTTCTGGCTCAAATTCATCTACTGTTGCGTACAAATCTATGTCAACACCACTTTCACCAGCCATAACGCAGATTATCTGGCGGAA